GGCCGCTCCCCCCAGCCACTAAGCCCTACTTGTACTTGGAGATCGGCATGGGGCGCTGGGTGCAGGGCACGAGGAGCGGGTGCGTGGGGAGGAAGGGGCTTAAGGGCTCTCCCTTGTGGCACCGTGAGAGGATCCTCTCCTCGGCATGCCCACGCTGGTGTGCTGTCAGCTCCTTCTTGTGGGCAAAGACAGAGCCGCACTCAGTGCAGGGGTAGACCCGCTCCACAGCGTGGGTGAGGTGGTGAGTCCGCAGGTTGCCCTTGTACTTGAAACTCTTCCCACACTCGAGGCAGGTAAAGGGCCGCTCGCCCGTGTGGATGCGCTTGTGCTTCATCAGCGTTGTCTTCAGGTTGAAGGTCTTGCCGCAGTCGGTGCAGGCGAAGGGGCGCTCGCCCGTGTGGATGCGCTGGTGGGTGATGAGGGTGCCCTTGCGGTTGAAGCTCTTGCCGCACTCAGTGCAGGTGAAGGGCTTCTCACCAGTGTGGATGCGCTGGTGCTTGATGAGCTCGCCGTTGTGGCTGAAGCTCTTGCCACAGTCGGTGCAGGCAAAGGGCCGCTCGCCTGTGTGGATGCGCTGGTGCCGTGTCAGGTCACCGTTGCGGCTGAAGCTCTTCCCACACTCAGAGCAGCCGAAGGGCCGGTCACCAACATGGATCTTCTGGTGGAGGATGAAGGTCTTCTTGGCGCAGAAGCCCTTGCCGCACTCAGCACAGATGAAGGGGCGCTCGCCGCGGTGGATCTTCTGGTGGGTGAGGAAGTTGGCCTTGCGGTTGAAGCTCTTGCCACAGTCGGAGCAGGAGAAGGGCTTCTCTCCTGTGTGGATGCGCTGGTGTAGGATGAAGGTCTGCTTGGAGCAGAAGCTCTTGCCACAGACGGTGCAGGAGAACGGCTTCTCTCCTGTGTGGATGCGCTGGTGCCGCATCAGGTCACCCTTCTGGCTGAAGCTCTTGCCGCAGACAGTGCAGGCAAAGGGCTTCTCCCCGGTGTGCACCCGTAGGTGGGTGACAAGGTTCCCCCGGTGCTGGAAGCTCTTCCCGCACTCACTGCAGGCAAAGGGACGCTCGGATACATGGCTGCAGGGTCGCCGTGCTGGCTCGGTGCCAGGGGCTGCGGCGCTGCCCATCCCACAGGCAGAGGGGGGGACCTGCTCAGTGCTGCTCACCGGCACCACCGGAGCTGTGCCCATCATCAGGCAGAGCCCCTGTGGCTTGGGGGTGACCCGTGGTTCCCCGG